GTCTCCCACCAGTCGTCTGGAAGTTAATACGGGAAGGGAGAAAACTGGAGAGCCAGAGCCTGAAAGGGCAACACATTCAGAACCGCAGGGTGTGACGCGATTAGCGCACAGATAGATTTTATTACTAATTCCAGCGGCCTCCAGCCTCAGCAACATGGGTGGGTAGCTTGTTCCACACCCCTGCAGCCCTTTGTGTAAAGTAATGCCTCCTGTCCTGATCTCATCCGGCCTTGTTTTGTTTTTTTGGCTTTCATAACCGGGCGGGGCGGTTTGTTCCACACTCCCACCACCCTTTGTGTAAAGACGTGCTTCGCGTTAGCGGTTCTAAATGCGCTTCCGCCTAATTTCCACCTGCTTCACATCTCACAAATCTGACGCGGCATTTAAAAGCATGCGTAGAATCTGACGCGCAGATGGTTTTTACGTCAGAACCTGGAGGGTGTGACGTGGTCAGCGCACAGAGATTTTATCACACATTCCAGCGGTTCTTGCTGCCGGTTCCCAGTGTTCACCTGGGATAGCAGGTTCAGAGCTCTGTGCTTAAGAGGCCTTGTGACACCACCCCTGTTTTGACGTGTGCGATCTCAAGGCCACGGCCGAGACACGGGTTCGGGCCAAGCGTGAGTGGGTGGGGTCAGAACCCCTGTGTTTGACCCACTGCAGCGCCGGTGCCAAAAAGGCCAGACTTACCGTCTGACGGAGAGAACCGCTTCACGGTCCAGTTGGAGGTGCCGTGCTCGGTGACCAGTCGAACCCGGGCCAGATATTTATGTTTGCGATCTGTGATGAGGTCAGACAGATCGCACCGCGTTACAGCTGTCCCGTTACAATCCTCCACCAGCACCCAGTCTGGGCTGGGATTTTGTTTGGAATACCTGCACATCAAAAAACACACACACACACACACTGTTAGGTGATGGTTAACAAACATCCATCCATTTTCTAACTGCTTCATCCAATACAGGGTCATGGGGGAGCCAGCCATCACCAGGCACGGGAGGTTTACATTGCTGCCTTGCAGTGCTGGGGCCCTGGGCTCAATTCATCGGGTGCTGTCTGTGTGGAGTCTGCATGTTTTCCCCAAGATTCGCATGGGTTCTGTCCGGGTGCACAGGTTTCCTCCCACAGTCCCAACAGACAGTTGGCTTCTGGGAAAACTGACCTTGATGTGAGTGTGTGTGTCTGTGTGTGTCCTGTGATGGACTGTCCAGAGTGTGTGTATGTGTGTCCGTCCTGTGATGGACTGGTGTCCTGTCCAGAGTGTGTGTGTGTGTCCGTCCTGTGATGGACTGGCGTCCTGTCCAGAGTGTGTGACTGTGTGTGTGTGTCCGTCCTGTGATGGACTGGCGTCCTGTCCAGAGTGTGTGACTGTGTGTGTCCGTCCTGTGATGGACTGGCATCCTGTCCAGAGTGTGTGACTGTGTGTGACTGTGTGTGACTGTGTGTGACTGTGTGTGACTGTGTGTGACTGTGTGTGTGTGTCTGCCCTGTGATGGACTGGCGTCCCATCCAGGGTGTACCCTGCCTTGAGCCTCTTGCTTGCTGGGAAAGACTCCAGCTCCCCTGCGACCCTGAATTGGAAGACGTTAGAAAGCCGACGGGTGGAGATTTCAAAGAAGTCATGTGGGGATACGAATCTCTTTTCAGAATAACGCCCAGGAAACTATGGGCGCTTCCACACAATACACAGTACAGCAGAATACAGCAGGCAGACAATGGACTCATTTCTCGTGTTCCGTACCAACGTGAAGTTTTATTCTAAGGCACAGAAACAGCTCTTTGACAGATAACGTCCCCAGAACGAAAGCTGCAGACGTTCCACTGAGCTACCCAAGATTCCCCAAACACGCCGAGAGGCAGTAAAAAGCAGTGGACTGATGAAATCAGATGACACAAGGCAGATGCGTGACAGATGTGTGATCTGTGACGCTTCCTCTGCTGTCATTGGTGCATATTCAGTGGTCTGGAGCTCAGGGAAATTTGCTTTCTGCAAAAATTATTCAATATGCTTAAAAAAGTAGCCTGTTTTTTTTTTTTTCTGGGAACACAATCCTTGTCACAACTTAATGTGTTAAGATTAATGTGTGTTAACTGTCTACATGTTAATCCGGACCACCCCAGGATAGGTTTCCTGATGGGGACATACTTCTTATACTGGACTTGGTAGTAGGTGGGCTGTGGGGGTCCTTCAGGGGGGCTCCAGTGGACCTCCAGACTGGCATCCTCGGCAACGACGCCCACTTTGACCGGGGCTGGGAGATCCTGGCCTGGGGTGAGAAAGAGAGAGAGTCAACAGGGTAGAGACTGAGTAGAGAGCCAAGAGACCTTTGTCAGGGACCTAGTTCAATGACAGGCTGCTGGATGTGGTTTTCATGGTTATTAATGCGGTTACTGATTTTGGAACAGGTCTTATGAGCAGCACCACCGGTGACCAATTTTATGCACAGAGCTGGTACAGGACTCAAATTTTCAAGACCACAAGAATGATAACAAACGAGGGGCTCTTCGGCCAGTCTCCCATCCAGCTGTTTCTAGAAAGCCAGGGGATCCGGTTCAACAATATGGCTGGGTAGCTTGTTCCACATCCCCGCAACACTTTGTGTACAGTAATGCCTCCTGTCCTGATTGAAGGATCTCATCCTGCCTTTTTTTTTTTTGCTTTAATAACAGAGCTGGACAGTTTGTTCCACACTCCCACCACCCTTTGTGTAACGAAGTGCTTCTTGTTATCAGTTCTAAATGCGCTTCCACCTAATTTCCACCTGTTGACTTTTATTTTTTTTGCTGAAGAAGAACTTCCTGTGTGATAACAGTCGCGCTGGTGGCCAGAGAACACAATTCCTCTTTGTCATTGGTGAAACAAGCTTCCGATCAAATTACATTTTTAACCATTTATCGTTTGAAAAAAAAACAACGACCTTAGAATATCATGCAAACGTCGTTCAAACCGACGAGAGGAATTCCGTTTCGTTCAGCTGTTCAAAGAGTTTCTGCTTTTCACACGCCTCTAACATCACTGCGTTCTTTCCAGCAAATTTTTTTCTTCTTCCGTTTTTTTCTGAGGGGAGAGAGGCGGGTATTTCCCTGCCTGTGCCTTCCTCACCTTTTCTTGCAGATAAGGTACCGGCGCTCAGAAACGTTTGCGGAACGACAACCACGTACCGTTATCCATACCAAGAAAAGGAGAGATTCAAACGCTTTCCCCTCTCCGCACGGAGAGGAAATGGAAAACAAACACGCAAAAGTTTAACGGGCCGTGAAACGCGACGAGGTTTAATCCCGTAACGCCTCCTCCTGTAACGACAGGCGCGCCGTTTGAGTCCGGTGTAGCGCGTCGCAAAACCGGCACCAGACAGGACATCATAAACGAGGCAAAAATTCAGAAAAATCCCACCGCAGTGGTTTGTCCTCAGTGAAATGTTGATTCTCAAACCCGTTTCGACACAGTCTGTTTCATTCTCCCTCCGGATATTACAGACCGAAACAGGATTCGGCACTTCCAGAATTGGCCCAATTTTAATCGACGTGAACGGACAAAAAGGGTTTAACGCCCGGAATGAATAACAACAGCCGATTGCACCAATATAGATACGCGATTGTTGAATTCTAGTTATGACAGCTCCGGGATCGGACACAATTACTAATGCCACACGCGTTATTTTCCTTTATTCTCAAGCGCGCACACGTCTCTCGTTTCCTGTGCTGGTTATTAAAAGCTTTTTGAGTTATGAGACGCAGTTTTGCAGCGAGCGGATGTGGGCGAGGTTTCGTTTAGCAAGATAAAAACACACACACACACAAAATTGACAATGGGTTTCCTGGCTTCAGAGCATACCGATACCTGTTACTGGGGAAACTCGCTTTAGTGGAATATGGGACGGACACCCCGAATGACTATTGGAAGGAAAGATTCCGTAAGACCTGGCGCAAACATTTTCATTCGGCAGGGTCACGTACTGTAAGGTGACTTCACGCGATGGGAGTTTCAAACACGCTTTGTTAGGCATTTGACTTGAAGGCGGTAACCAAAAAGTGATCACATAGGTACATAGATCCGGCGTCTCGCCCATCTAACCCTGCCTCTGTTTAGCCGGACGGTGACTCGGTCTGGGGGAACTACACGAGAATCCAGAACAACATCTTTACCAGCAGCTGCAGCTGTGAAGGAGGGTGAATGAGAGCACAGGGCCCGGATACGACAGGGCTGGGTGACTAACGAGCGGAGTTCACTTGTGTTTTTTTTATTGTGGAGGAGTGTTTTCCGGATACTTGCCCAAAAGTGGACACCCCGCTTTTAACTTTGAATTTCAACACGGATGACAAATATAGCCCCCCACTTTTTTTTTACAGCTGATATTTGCACTCCACCACAAGCGTCAGACGACTTTCAGTCGCAATTGATATCAACGCGACCGGTGCGTCTATAGAAAACCGGTCTAGTTAATTACTGCCTTCGGGGGATTTCTGCGAGAATACCAAAAAAAAAACAGCCTTTCTGCAGGGCTGGCGGGACGGGACTGGCCAGTCCTCCTGTCCACTCTGCTATAGCCCCTAGCAGCGACTCAAAGCAGAGCCCATACCGGAAGTCGGGGCGCGATGTCACTTTCGCACCAGCTGTTCTCACTCCTACTCGTCCCAAGCAACCGCTTTCCCGAAAGCTGGAAAACACCAGGAGCAATCGTCTTCTGCAGCCTTCGCATCCCCAGACGTCCAACTGCCCCCCACCCCGGTCGCTTCTTACTCTGCTGGGGGGTCCAGCCTCCTCCTCTTCCTCCTCCCCCAGGTCAGGAGGGGCTGGACCTCGGCCAAGCGGGTTCAGAGCCAAATCGCACCGTACCTGAACACCGCATAAACACGCCCCAGGGCAACAGAGTCCTGGGGTGTCGGTCCTCCCCACCCTTCGATCTGTGTTAACGTGCGCCGCGCCGTCCTCCATCTTGTCGCTTCTCTTCTTCCTCTGTGGTTCCGCTGACGTGAGGGAAGGAAACTGGGCGCTCCGCTCTTGACAACAACAACATCAGCACCAGCACCAGCATGGCATGTTTCCTCCCAGCATGCCGCCGCTCCACGGAGTGGGCACTTCGGCCTGGCGGGACACCAGTTTCACTGAACCAACTGTTTTTTTCCGCCCAGTGGGCTCCCGGGGTGCAGCCCTTTATAAACACCTTCCCGTAGCGTCCGGAGTTGTGAGTGCCTCGAAGGGGGCCAGTTGTCATTAATCTGCGTATCATTTCTACGAAGTGCAAATTTTTCTCACCCCCCGCATGCTTGCGCGAAATGACCGTTTGTTAAAGTATTTCTGAGAGACGGGAAGGACCGGCGCTTGTTCTCTACACGGATTAGGAAGATTGTTTTGTATGTTTAAAGTGAAGCAGCTTCCATTCGGCTGAGTCCTCACTGCGCCCAGTCGTGCATGTTTTCAAAACTGGGATTGTTTTGTTGTTGTTGTTGTTGTTGTTGTTGTTGTTGTTGTTGTCGGTGTGTGTGGGCAGTGAACAACAACAACAACAAACAAAAAACAATATGAAAAGCTGCTTAAGTTGAGTGCAACTTAAATCAATTAAAGCCAGACCGTGCTCGGAACAGGTTGGAACAGTTCGCGCCGGAATGAGGGAGCGAACATTTTCACTATCTGTCCGAGCGTGTCGCGACCTGTCCCCGGGCAGAGTTCAGGAGCTGAGCGGCCGTCTTCATCAGCCCACAGACTGAATCTCACAGGTGGCAAGCCCTTACAAGTGTACCCAGGGCTTGCAAGCGTTTTCCTTTTCAGTTCAGCTGGAGCGAGCGGCTTCTCACGCCGACTTTAAGCGGGAGCATTTTTTGTATTAAAAAAAAATAAAACACAAAGATCACAATCGCATCTCCCAAGTGCCACAGCACACCGCAAAATTTCAGTGCGGCTTATAAACGGGTAGAACACAGCAGCCCCGATATTAGAGTATAATACACAGGCACAGATCTTATCAAGTGCAGTAGTCTGGACAAGGAAATACCCTCGTTAACACACTGAGGCATTCCAGGTGAGCGATCGTTCACACTCTTAAAAAACAGTCCTGTGTGCCAGTGTCTCCACACTGAACACCCACACCTTATATCAGAGAGCCATGTTTTGGGACTCCCACCACAAACCATCTTGAATCAGCCAGTCCTGTTTAATTCAGTCTGCTTAATTCTGCAGGCTCTCATCCAGGGCGATATAGAGGCTTGAATTTGGGTGGCCTCTCGCACAACAGGCAATGCACTTGCCAGAGAAGCCTGGCTACCGACAAGAGATGGATGAAAAGAACAGTAAGAGAATACCAGAGCTGTCGACCGGAAAGCACGGAGCTGGTTGCCCACCGCCAAGAAAAATGAGTCTTACCTGACACACACAGCCACAGTCCCACAGCACTGAGAACTGTCAGTATCAAGCCCCAGTGCGCCATCGTCCTTATAAAACAGGCATCGTGTTCAGAGCAGAAGGCTCCAGCCAGTACTCCAAAGTCCTGAAAACTGTTCTCCCCGGCAATTCCAAATGGAAAAACAGACTCCCGTTTAGAGTTAAACGCGACTCCTGGAAACGGGGGAAAGACAACGAGCTCGCAGAATTGTCTGATGGCTCAGAAAGTCCCGGGATTCTGAACGGCTGGACTCCTCTGGGAGTCCCTCTGGTCTGGCGGGGAGAAGGACTGACTCACCCGCCCTTCTCTCCTCTCTCGCACACTGTTCGCTCTCCAAGAGCGCGTCTCGCTCTCTTGTTCCTGCGTGGGCGTTCCGCAGCTACAGGACGCGTCATCAGCCTTCGCTCTCACTTCCTTCTCTTCGGCTGCTGTGTTGTCCGGGGACATTTATTGACTCGAGTGGGTAATTCCTGCACGGCAGGCGGATTTATTTCAAACTGCCTACTGAGAAGAAGAAATGTTTCTTTATTTTACTCTTCACACTCAGAGTGTTCTGAGCCACACACACTTGACACTTACTATGCAGCAGGCTGTACAGAATCTGATTCACACTGCTCATACCCACAGGGAGAACACACTATAACAACAAGGCACACACACACACACTGTATACACAGTTACATACATGCACTGTACTCACAGGGTACAGTACAAACACACTCTGTACACACATGACAGTATATGTACACATACTGTACACATAGGTACAGTACATCCACACACAAAATACACACTCGGTCCACACAGGGTACAGTACACGCACTCACACTGTACACACAGGGTGCAGTACATACAGTACACACACAAAATACACACTCGGTCCACACAGGGTACAGTACATGCACTCACACTGTATACACAGGGTGCAGTACCTACACACACAGTCCACACAGGGTACAGTACACGCACACACACTGTACATACACATTTGTATTCTTATTTGTAAACACTTTGTATTGACACTCGTTCTGTTTGTCTTTAAGACGATACTGTACCAACATAAGGTTCTGCTTAGGATAAAAACAGTCTCTCAGAATTCTTTTTCAGTTCCAGATTTAAAAGCATATATCAGCTTAGAAAAAACACTCAGCTATCACAGGGACATCCCCATATCAACTGTTTGTCAGCAGTTCCTATCACTGTGGGGGGGTCATTTTCTTAAAATGTAGTAATATATACCTACGCACTGTACACACACTGTAAACTGACTGCTGTATTCACACACAATACTGTACACATACTGTAAACTGGCTCCTGTACACACAGGCTATATACACTGTGGACACACAGACTCACTGTACACACACTGTAAACACACAGGCTATATACACTGTGGACACACACACTGTAAACAGACTATGCAATGAGTGTACACAGTCCATACCTCACGACAATGTGTACTCACTGTAAAAAACTATACAATCAGACAATGTCAATATGAATCACGTACAGAGACTGCATACTATCTGTTAACCCACAGAGCCGAAAGCCAAGGCATTTCGGATCCCACCTTTTTTTGAAATTGTACAATCAAACGTGCTGCACTGTTGTGTCTTTGATCCCACAGGGCGAACAGCAGAAGTAAGGGAGACAGCAGAGGAGAGATGCAGGTCTCAGTGAAAGGCTCTTAGGAAAACAGGGATCAAAAGATGAGTTGCTCTCATATTTGAGTGTGTCGATGGAGCCACTCATTATCTATAATATAATTGGCAAGCCTAACTCTAAAAAATGAAGAAACATGATTCTCGCACCAGTAATGTTTGACAGTGTGAGGTCGAGAATAAAACAACAGCCCATTTACACAATGGAAAACAATATGTAGCAATGAATCTGATCATAAACGTCAAGCCAAAGACCCGCAGAGTCTGTTCTTCCCTGGAGTCTGCAAAAATCAATTCAAAAAATGTAAAAAGTCAACCCAAAGAAATCTGCAGTAAGTTCTGTTACACGATGTCTTTAAAAGCGTTCATCTGAAATCGATGTGTTATACAGAGAAGGCGCATTACACATTAACGACGAACTATGTCGGAAGGGACAAACCGTGGAGAGGCAGGGGAGCGAACGGCGAGTTAGCCTGGGTGGCCTGGTGCTAGGCGGGTCTCAGGACATCCGAACGTCAATGCTGAGCGAAGCAGAATAAGTAATCCAGAAATATATAGCCCCAGAGAGGGAGACACCGGAAGGAGAGCAAAGCACAGGGAACTAGGGACAGGACAGAGAAGGAGCACCCTCTGGCTGCAGAGGGCGTGACGCCCACAACGCATCCATTTGCTAACCACTTTAGTGTCCTGTCTAGGTTGTAGCCTGCCTTGCGCCCATCTCCTCCCAGGATAGACTCCGGCTGTTACGCTGGATTAAGCGGTTTCGAAAATGAATGGAGAAGTCATTCTGATGGTTCCCACTTCTCCCAAGCTTTCCTGAGACCAGGACCAGGTTGTTAACCCTTTACAATTTCTTGCATTAAGAATTTGTCTTTTCGCAGACCCCAGCATGCTCTCCATGAGACACACAGACAGGGAGTGAGAAGCTGGGGGTCAGAGCGCAGGGTCAGCCATTGTACAACACCCCTGGAGCAATCGGGGTTCAGGGCCTTGCTCAGGGGCCCAGCAGAGTAGGATTCCTCTGCCAGCTTTGGGATTTGAACCAGCAACCTTCCAGCCACAGGCGCAGATCCTGAGCCACTAAGCCACTCCTCCACACTGTTTACAGGGTGTGTGTAAACAACACATAAGCCACTCACTCAGAATGAAAACTGGCTTGTGGTTAAAAAGGCATCTGCGCTGTGGCGGATACCGAAACATCCCAGCACCTTCATTCTGAAAATGGCATTACATCTTTTTGTCCGCTAATGTTTCTCGTTCTCTGCCGCTGATTTTATTACTCTGTAATTGGTTTTAATTGATTATTACGGTTAATAATCCATGTATAACACTGTCTATGTATAAAAGTCCTGATCAGAGCCATACTGGGCCAAAGCAGATCCTGGTTTCTGTAGTGGTAAGCGGACTAGAGGGCTTAGGACCCCCTTCTCCGGATGGGACACCAGACCCTCACAGGGATCACACCCCCCCAGTGATGATGATCCCCACTTATACAGGTGGATCCACTGGGGTACAGAACGTCACAACAGCAGCGTCTCAAACCCACAAACTTTCAGTCATGAATCCAAAAACTAATCTGCTATTGCTCCAGTTTACTGTATGCAGAGGTGGAAAACACTTGTAAGTACTAATTTACTTTTATCTGTAAAATGTTTTCTATCAAGGCATGCAGCGGGCACAAGGCAGGGTACCCCCTGGATGGGACGCCAGTCCATGCAAACACACCAGTAATTGGAAATATAACACTACACTTTGGTATGACACACTTAAAAAAGGCTCTAGTGCAGACAACTGTCATTAAAAATCACATCATTAGTTCAACAGAGTCCACCTGTGGGGACGTGTCAATTATAGAGCTGCTTCTCATCACCAGCAACTGGAAAGATTGTCTGATGCAAACATAATACTGATTAGGAACAAGTACAGGCTTATTCCATGATGAAATGAGAAGAAAAGAAACAATGTTTCAGCTGTGGAGCCTTCTTCGGGTGTGAGAAATATGTGTTTCTTTTCTTCTCTTTTCATCATGGAATAGACCTTTACTTGTTCCTTTGGAGCCTACGCATGCTGATATAGCTACCTACTTGAATAAACCCGTGACTGATCGCTGGTCTCTGAGCCCTGGACAAACCTGTGCCTGATCATTGGGACTTCGAGCCCAAGATGTCACCCCATCTCATCTCACCCAATGTTCAATGGGGAAACAGAAATGTGAAAGTTGTAGTTCTACCCCATTGTTTGCTATTTAATAATTGCTTACAATTTTCTAGACACTCCACTCAGAGCTCTTTACAGGTCATGGGGATCCCCTCTACCCCACCAGTGTGCAGCCCCACCTGGATGATGCCCCAGTACTCTCCCCACACACCAGCTCTCAGTGGGGAGGAGAGCAGAGTGATGAAGCCAGTTCAGAGATGGGGATTATTAGGAGGCCATGACTGGGAAAGGCCAGAGGGAAATTTGGCCAGGACGCCGGGGTAACACCCCTACTCTTTTCAAGCTATTTAAGCCATGACATTATTTTTAAATGAATAATACTGATCTTGTTCCTTTTTGTGTGTCCAATGCATATGCAGAGTTAAGATCAGGTAAGCGAGTGTAATACAAAAGGAAATGGTAGCCAATCTCTCTCCTTACATGTAGGACGTGTTTGTACTTTCTTCAAAACCGAGATTCAGTGCGCGTTCCTTCACAGGGTGCGTTTTGCTGTGCAAACTGCTGGCAGAACCCAAAGCTGCTGCTCGGTGTTTCACGGTTTTTGTTTTTCTTTTTGAGTGAGTGTGTGCCTGGGTTTGCCCAGGACAGTGCCAGACTCCTTCACAGGACGGGGAACCCACATGTATCACTTCACCCTGATTTTTGGTGTTTTTGGACATTTGTTTTTCCCAGATTCAATTATTGCACACTGAGAGCTGTGGGTGAGGACACAGAGCAACAAAAGGTTATCGATTTAGTTTGAGGTTGCATTGATAAGGAAGGTGATGAAGATACCTTATTTCAGCTTATAAATGAAGTATAATCGATTTACTGACGTAAAGAAAAATGAGTTATGCTCCTGCACGCGGTGATGTGATTTGTGTTCTATAACTAAGACTAAGAAGAAAAATCCCATTTCTCACAGTGGGCAGAAGCCAGGGACTGCACAAAGTAGATTAAAGGAACTAAACTCTTCTTCTTGGTAAAACACAGAATTCTAGCAAGCAAGACTGAAGAAACTCCAAAAATAAGGCACCAGCTCAGAGCTCCTGTTTGTCCATGACCTTTAATTCAGTATGTGCCGCTCCACTCGAACCTAGAAACTTCAGCAGGACCCTACGTGCTTCATCAAACGGCATAACCCAGCACACCTGCCCCAGCTGCACAAGGTTATAGACGTCTTTAGAATATAGCTGGCTGGTGTATGTGCTTTTCCAGCACAGCTACATGAACTCCAGCCTTGATGTTCATGACTTGTTTCTGAAAGTGCAGCAGAGGGAGAGAGACGGTTATATATACTGAGCTCAGCAGGCGTGAGCCTGGCCAGTACCTGGATGGGAGACTCCTGGGCAAGCTACGTCTTAACAGCTGTGATCGTGTCCCCTTAAGACATCTGTATCCCCATCCTACACTGGTGACATTTATTCAAAATAAATGTCAAAGCGAAAAGACTTTGGTTTGTTTGCTGTATAACTTCAAGAGTGCCCAGTGCTCTTTGTGTTAAACTGAAAAAAGGAACTGGTACAATTTAAAGGGCACAGAAAACAATGTCATGCTCTGAGTAATAGTGAAATTTGCAACATCCCTAAACGCTCAATCATTAGGATACTGAAGGCAGAGGGGAGGCTTTATAAAGGTCTTGCCATA